CAGTACTATATAACATTTTAGACACATTCTAGACAGTTTATCAGCTAAAAAAAGTTAATTTTGGGGTAAGTTACTCTTTAAATAGGAAAACTGTGAATGCTGACTCAGCAGTCACTCAACAAGCACACACAAGGCCGTCTCCTTTGATTTTCTACATATCAAAGAAGCCAGAGGCTCGTTCCAAACAAGATTGTTCTTTAGTCAAAACGCAGGAGCATTATGACTCTGTTTATCTTCCTGACCCTGACTGTGGCAACAAACCTTAACCTCGTCTGTGATCTAACTCTGAAAACTTATCAAGTGCAAGATGCTGACGAGGTCACGGCGCCTCTCGGGTTGGAGATGTCAGAAAATTAATTTACGTTTAAAACCGGTAATTATCATTCACCGCTAAAAGATAAAAAAGTTGGCAACAATGGTGTTGCTTGCATGTGTGTTTGTTAGCAAAATATCATGAACCAGTGGGAGAATGAAACTTTCAAAATGTAATAACTGAACGTGCTTTTACAACTGATTAACTTTTACAAAAGCTTATCGGCATCAGAGGCACAAAAAATCACTGCGCCTCAGTCAGTTTTACACATATTGAGATAAAATAATGTGGTAGTAGCTATGTTATGTTTAGTACTGCCAAAAATAAGAAATCAATTACTGAAGTGTCGTTTAGGTGTCGTAAGAACACCAGAAAATAATTTAAATATGGTCTGCAGGGGGAAACCTGACAGGAAGTTGTGGACAAGGCAGGTGTAAGGGGATCTTATTTATCCGTCTCTCTGCTGCAGAGCACCTGCTGACTCAGCATTTTCTGTGTCTGCACCACACACACACACACACGTCTTTGGACTTTCTGTTTTCCGTTTTAGTTTACACAAGCGAAACATGAAAACTCTGCATGTTGGATGCAGGTAGAATTTCCTCTCGTCGTTTAAGAGATGTCTCAAAATAAGAAGTTATTTCCTGCTGCAGGAGTGAATTTGTGATGACACAGATGAACAGATGTGTGAGCTGGAGTCAGATTGTTATGATCATTACCTGGTGAATCCATGAAAGTCATTTCAGAAGCTCTGTTGCAGATTTTTTAACCTCCATGGTGGAAAAAACAAACAAAACAAACACTAATGAAGAATGCTATTAAGGATTTTATTTTTTATTTTGATTTTTGATGCTAAAGGAACTTGCCCCAGCGTTTTTTTGGGACGTTCAAAAGTTGGATTTGTGAAAAAAAAACCTGCGATCAGAGGGGTTTCTTTGAAACAAAAATCTTCTCAGTAAAGTTTCTGCAGACATCCTTTAATGTGTTGTTTTGGCTAAAATGATGAAAAGTAGCGACAGTGAAGGGTCTGCTGCTGGTTTAGACCCACAGTGACACCAGCTGAGCCACATCAGAACACGTGAACTGCTCTTGACCTGGCTCATCATTGCACAAAGGACATGCGAGCTTCACACAGAAAGGCCGGGAGGAGAACCTGCAACCTTTTTTTTACTGAGAGGTGACAGCTTCAACCACTGCACCACCTGGTTTTGTTTAATTTGCTCAAGTTAATAGAGAAGTTGTTCAATGATGAACATTTTTTTAATTCATATTAAGTCCTATTTTTAATGAAACCCACTTCTTTGCTTGTATAAATTAGATACCCTTTATTTAACCAGATTAAAAAAAAAAACTCAAAAAAATCTCTTTTTCAAGATGGACCTGGCAAAAAGAGTCAGTTTTAAATGACAACAAAAAAAGAACAAAATTAAGTTTGTTCCAGTTTGATCTTTTCTTTGTAGTTGTATTTATAGATTTCATCTGAAATTTGTTGAGATTATGTCTCTTCTGTGCCACAGAGTTGTCCGAATATATCGTACAGATTGTGTGTCGTGACTTCTTTTAGTTTTTTTAAGTGTTTAGCTTTGTTGTTTGATTTCACTGTGGAAATTTATTTTAATACTTTTTCACATGCCTGACAGAAAAACGAACAGCGTTTCATTTACTGAATGACAGATGTGGTCGTCCTGTTGTTTTTTTAACACAGTAACAATGCTAATCATATTTAGGGGAATGAGTTTTTTTATTTGTTCTCATCTGTTTTTACAGGTTAGCAACACCAGAGCTTTTGAAATCTTCCAAATTCACAATGATGTTTGACGTTTTGAGGCCTGGAAAACAATCAAAAACATGCACATTTATTATCCTCCTAAGACGTATTAATAAGTGGAGCAGAGTTTTCACAACTGCTGTCCTGGATGACTAATTTAAAACTCCAGTTGAGGGACGTCTTAAACTCAAAGCTATAATGTGTGATCCAGGAGAGCCTGTCAGAGATGGAGAGTTGAAGAATAACAACGTGCAGGGTGAGAAGCTGGGTGCTGGTGATGCAAACGCAAACGACATTCAGATGGAAGACGGCGGGAGAACCGGAGATGTCGGCTCTCTGTCTGGGTTGATGACCGAGACAGCTGAGGAAGATAAAGTTATCATTTGGGGCACCGACTCTCAGTGTGATGACCCCGAGCTGGCTGAGTTCGAGATGCTGGAGTGTCAGGAGCTGGAGGCTTATCTGGTCGAGGAAGGCGAGGACTTTGTTGGGCTCGCGGAGCGGAAAACAGTTCAGGAGCAGCGCTCGTTGTGCAGTAAAGCAGAGCAGGTAGATGACTCAAGCAGAGGGGGGACAAAGTCCATTCAGCATGTTGGTGGTGAGCAACAATCGACTGCATCTCCCATCTCTGAGAGCAGAGAGGCGTCCAGGACTGAGCTGAGTTCTGAAACGGATGTCTTCGTAACCTGTCTGTCCACCGTTTCGAGCATCGCCACCTCGACTCCCGTGACGGACTCCTGGCACGTCGTCTCAGCCGTCTCAGAGGACCTGACTCTGGCTTCCCAAATCTGCAGCACCATCTCCGAGAGAGCCAAGACCTCCCAAAAGCCCAATGATCCCTCTTCACTTGTTCGAAAAAGCACATTGCAGCAGAAAGATCTGGACATGAATTTGAATTCAGTGCCTCGCTCGGAGGAGGCTGTTCCACAGACGCACCTGAACAATGGAGTTCTCTGCAAGGGTGTAAGCAACGAGCTCAAAAAGAACAATAATCAGAAGAATTCAGCAGGGAACTCCAACTTTAAAGCTTTATCCTCCACGACAAAGTCACATGAAGAAGGCAACACGAAAATGGATAAAAGCACACAAGCTGACGAGACCCCTGATTGGATTAGGCCACTAGAAACGGGGACTAAAGGGACTCAGTCAGCAAATGAATTCAAAGTCATGAGAAAGCAAGGCTCTTTTGATAACACTCCACTGAAACAAAACTCTTTTGACAAAAGCTTCAAGAAGCAGCTCTCTTTTGATAACTCCTTAAAAAAGCAGGCCCCCTTTGAGAACACAGCCGCCTCCCGGTCTTCATCTCTGGAGAAGAGGAAGCCGTGGGGAAGCCCGGGTCGAACAGTAACCACTGCTGCCCCTAAAACGACCTCCTGCTCACCCAAAACACAACCACCTGCTTCTCCAGCCAAAGCCCAGGGCACCAGATCCTTGAGTTTTGAACGCAGCGACTCGTCTCTAAGAAGTCAAAAGCCTTCAAATAAAACCAACATAAACAGCGGAATTCCCAAACCAATCATATCACAGCAGAAAGAGACTGAACCAAGAAAATCTTCTCCGCCCCAAAATCCCAAAAACGTTAGACCAAAAATCATTACGTACGTGCGAAAAAACACACAAAAGCCAGAAGATACCCAACACGAAACCTCTACAACACCACCACGGTTGTCTTCTTACGCCAGCCTGCCAGTTCACAGAGATCCCAAATGTGTTCCTCAATCGAAATCCACACCGGTGCTCAGCTGCTCCAACCTGCTGTTGGACAAATACCGTCAGGAGATGCAGAAGGCAGGGTGCTATCCAGGAACCGCGGTGATCGGGACCAAACCTCCGAGCAGCGCCACCCAAAGACTGAACGGGAAGTCCGAGAGCTTCCACGAGGAAATGTCAAAGAAATACCAGCAAGAGGTGAGAGCTGAACTCTGCATGTGTACTTACAGAGCATGACAGTCTTCATCTGTTCCTATGGTCTTATATAGCTAACTATTGTTCCTCATCAGCACCATTCTCAAGAAACTGGAGGTGTCTATCGTTCACCCAGAGCCCTTCGGCCTCAGCTGGGGTTGGGGGCCGTCAGCAGGCAGCCTGCAGCCAAGCCGAGGGTTCAGCAAACTGGTCACAAGTCAGCAGCTCCAGGCCAGTCTACTCAGGCATCCAGAGTGTCCACTACCAGCCACCAGGATCAAGCAGGTAACATAACCTGCCCCACTAGGTTCTCCTATCCATCTCAGCATTCTTTAAATACTTTTTTTATCCAAGTTGTCAAGCTGCAAAGAACCGTCCTCACTCTTCTGAATGGTTTGCCACAAATTATTCATATCATGCACGGAGCTAAATTTAGCCCATGGCACCTTAAATCTTTGAAGTGCAAAGAGTCCTGCCTCCTTCCACTGCACGTGTTTACTCTCACGTCTACTCTCAAATCATCATTTTTCAATGTGTAGTGTTCCAATTCAAATGTGCTTTTGCTCATTTTTATTCTTGCAGTATTTTTAATGCAATGTTGCGCCCTTTTTTTTATCAAGGTCTCAGTGAGCAGAAGTGGTCCGGTCCAGAAACCACCCCCAAAAGCCTCCTGCTGAAATCAGGCCAGTCCGGTCTCCGTCCACCAGGCTTCTCCAGCCTTCCAGCTGCTCGTCTGGCGGCCCTGGGCGTCATCCGCAGCTCCAGCGTCTCGTCTGTTTCCAGCAACCAGTCCAGCGACAGCAGCAACAGCGATCCTTGCCGACCCTCTCACTGTGAGTTAACTTTCATCAAATACCTCACTGGATTACAGGAGTACTCCAGATTCATGTTTTATGCAATCTTGTTTTGGCTGTTTTCTCTGTCTTTGTTACTTTAACACTCACTCATTTGTTGTTGTTGTTGTTGCCTAATTTTAATTTCACTTTGTTTTTGGCAGCTAAAAGCCTCATTCTAATTGAGCCTCGGTGGTAAAGCGGGTGTCTGCTCAATAGTAAAATGTTTGGAAGTAGCTCAGACAGCAGATAAATGACTGGCAGTTTTCACAACAGTGTTTCCCTTCAGGCTGTTGGCTCAGGAGCTCTGCTCCATTACTGACAGCCATATGCACATCAAATGCATCCACATTCAATGGGGATTTGCTCCAGATATGTGTCTCCTCCGGGACTGAACACATCTTCTCGGAGATAGGGATACCATCATGAATATCAGGCATCAGGTGACATGGAATTCATCTGTCTAGTTAGCCCAGAAAGAGCCTGTTAAAGCAGTTAGTTGTCCTGCAGACTCCTGTAAAACCAAGTATTTAGAGCTGTTGTTGTTGGTTGAGTTGCCATCAGTGTGACCATTAAAATGGCCGAAGTGTGAACATTTGGTCATAATGCACCAGGTTATGGTTGGTGAAAAATAAACACAACATGTTGGTATAAATGCCTCATACTTGCTGTCAATACCACATTAGGTGTTGATGATTTGGGCCTATAGTCTGGAACCACAGTTCCTGAACTAGACCAACAGTTAAAGTTTGACCCCAGTCACGCAGCAGGAAAATAATGCAATCTAAATGCAAAAGTGTCTCAATCAGAATCCAAACCTCAGCTTTATCAAAGTCTTAAAGTGGGACTTTACTACAGATTTGTAAACATGAATGCCCGCAAACAAATGACCTGAAGTGACATCAGACTTTACGCCAACATCCACATCCAGAACCATTCTCTTCACCTTGCTTATCAGATAACAATTATTGTAGGGGTTGGATTTACACAAGCACACACACACACACACACACACACACACACACACACACACACACACACACACACACACTCTCAGCCTGCAGCTCCTTCCTGAGCAGATCCTCTGCTCGGCCCTGTCTCTCTTTCTGCTGACTCTCTGATGAGACTGCTGCAGCAAGGAAACTTACTGCATTAACTCTTAAAAAAGACACAAAACATGAGTTTTTTGACTTGAAAACTAATTTGATCAACGTCTCTGAATCAGATTGTGTTATGCTGCTGCTGAGTTTGCCGGAGTTTGATTGTTGAATCGTTTAAAGGTGGTAACTTGTAGATATTACTGCAGTTTTAGTGGTGATTCCAGCCTCTGGGAGCCACTGTTCTGTTCAATCTCAGGTCACAGTGATGCTGGTTTAATTCAAGGACACAAGCCTCCCCCCATTACTTTTTTTTTCTTTTTGGAAGTGTTGTGTTACCTGCAGTAGGTGCAGCCTGTGTCAGCATTACTGTTGACTGAAGAGCTGCATATTTTATAAGTAATTTGATACGTCTGGTCTGTGGTTTTTTACTTACTCTGACTGAGGATGGATGGATGGATGGATGGATGGATGGATGGATGGATGGATGGATGCTTGTTATTTAAGGAATTTCTCTAAATGATTTTGATTTAAAATTCCACACTGCAAAAATTGTCCATCTTATCAGGTCTTAAAAGGTTACACACAGCCAAAAAGTATTAAGATTATTTAACTGAATTTGAGAAAATGCAGACTCAGATTAGATGAAATAATCTGCCGTGCTGCACTTGGTAAGATTTCTTGAAATGTGAAAAATTTCCAGGCTAACAAGATTAATAAAAATTTGTGTTGGTTGGTATCGTAGAGGCAAGCGATTAGCATGGATAAACTGGTGTTAGCATTGGAGAGGTTAGCGACTAGCATGCCAAGGCTCACCTACTTTATTAGACACAAACTTATCCATGCTAGTTGCTAGCCTATCCAATGCGAACGCCAGCTTATCCATGCTAGTTGCTAGCCTCTCCAATGCTAACACCAACTTATCCATGCTAGTTGCTAGCCTCTCCAATGCTAACACAAATGAATAGTCTCCTTATTTGCCAGTGCCAGCCTCTCAGTTAGCGGTGTCGGCCTATCATTAATCAGATCAAAAGCTGGTTTAGGAATAGATTTAGCCTCCTGCTACAAGGATGTAGCAACTGCTGGTTGTGCAATAATCTTAATTTTTGCCCTCATACTGCACAGCACTGGGCTGTAAACCAGTGCATGTTAGAGAATTGGCGCACTAGAACAAGTTGTCTACTCCAACCCCACTGATGTTCAGAGCATGCAGGACCACAGCCTGTCACCAAAACACTACTCCTGTGAGGTTGAGTGCAGGCAGAAGGGCACAGGCAAAAATTCAAAAGGTAACAAAAAGATTTGTTAATAAACCAAAAAGGCTGGCAGGGCAGCTCAAAAACTCTCATGGGGAACAGGAACACAGAACACCACACTGGCTGGGTAAAACAGCACAATGATCAGACACAGACTGAGGACAAGATACCAGATATAAAGGGAAACTAATGAAGACAAATGAGAAACACCTGGAGCAGACAAGAGGAAACAGGTGAGCGTGGGCGGGGCTGTAAGGGCAGAGAATCACAGGTGAACACTGAAACACTAGAAAAACCAAGAAAACAAACAGACTGTGACAATTCCCCACTCAGTTTGTTTCTTTTGTGTTTATAGTTATTACTTCAGAGTTTAAGGGTTTTCTGTCTTCTGACCATGAGTCTCCGATTGATGTGCTAACAGGGGGGGTTTGTGGTTTGGGGGTGACAGAAGGTGTACTAAACTTAGTACAGCACCTTCAATCAGACTGGCTGATAACAGGGCCAGTAGTCCTCAGCTCTTGAAAGTAAAATTCTCAACCCTGTAATAAAAAGTTATAATAAAAAGTGTAAAATTATTCAAATTTTTTTTATTTAATTTTTTTGGGACTTTATAATCGAGCAGGAAAGCATAACATTTAAAAGATGTGATTTCAAGCTAGCTAAAGGCTTAATCATTCATTCAACATTTCTACAGAAAGCTCCATGTTAAGACATGTACAATTATTTAAACATTCATTATCGTCTTGTTCTTCACAGAGAAAACAGAAATGAAATAAAAACAGCTGTGTTTAACAAGATCAGGATTTGAAGGAAAAAATATATATAAATCGTAAAATATTCAACATATTGGCTGCATCTCTATGTATGTTGTGACGTAACTGTTGCTGAACGTTTCAACACAGCAGTGATGCTGCATGATGTGTTCCCTTTCTGTTCCTTCAGGATGAAAATGTAGTTGCAGCAGCTTTGCTGTAAAAGTGGAGATTTTTCGCCATCTGGTGGTCAAATTGTGTAATACAGGATAAAATCTCAACTCCAGATTGTGCTCACTGTGAAATAAATATCTGTAACTGACTTGGCTCTACTTTTCTCATATTTCAATAACATAGGGTGCTAATTTTTATTTATTTTTGTTCCTTACAGCTTTAAGAACAGAGCTGCCGAAGGAAATAAACGCTGCACCCTCACCAAAATCCTCTCCTAAAAGATGCGCCGTGGTTTCGCCCAAGATCCAGTCACCTGGTGAGTTGGTCACATGACAGACCGTGTGTTCCTCACGTTGGTCCGTCAGCTGCTACTGTGCCTTTAAAGCTCACACTTTCCACTCGTCATTCCCAGACCTACACCCCTACAGCCGGATGTTGCATGGCAACAATCCACAGTGAGGGTTCCTGCGACGGCGGTTCCGCTGGCTCAGATAACAAAGAAATCTGCCTGTTGTGCTTCTTCTCAGAAACCACACACACACACACACAAACTAAGATTTTTACACAGACACCTGTAACACGATCACCCTGGGAAAGTGAAGTCAGTTCACTGTCTCTGTGCGCGCTAACGCAAATAACCTCAAAGAGTTTCTACAGTTTCTGTGAGCAGTTAATTTTTCCCCTGCAGAGTTAAAGGTTTGATTTGGGATCTTCTGATTAACCGTTTCAGCTGCAGCTGCTGAGTGGTCTCAACACTTTAAAGAGTAACTTACCCCAAAATTAACTTTTTTAGCTGATAAACTGTCTAGAATGTGTCTAAAATGTTATATAGTAC